GCCTGCGGGAGGGGGGGTTGTCTTCTTCCAGCTGAGGTGAGGAGGGGGCCGGGCTGGGAGGGGGGGGATGCTCCTCCGCGGTGTCGTGGTGCTGATGGAGCCCCTCACCGTGCCTTCGGGTCTGCGCGCTGAAGGCACCGCAGGTGGGGAAGATGCTGGTGCAAGCTGCCTGCAGCCCCGGCCAGGCGCTCTCCGAGCAGGTACCCCCGTTATCCCTCCACCCCTCCTTTTCCCTGGAGATTTCCTACCGTGACTTGGGGTTTTTTTTTCCTTCCCAGCAGCGTATCCCGAGACCCCCGGCACCGCTCCCACCCGTGGCACCCCTGGGCAGCAGCAGGGCATCCTCGGAGCCCGGCGCCTGCTCCAGCCTCACCGCATCCCGCTCCTCCTTCCCTGGAAAGGTGAGTTGCTCATCCTTAACACGGGGGACGGATCCGGGCACCGAGGGGTGGTAGGGGGTCTCCGGCAGGACCGCCGGGAAGGCTGGCTGTGAGCACAGCGTGACGAAGGGATGCTGCGGGTGTTTAGGTTTTCGGGAGCAGACTCGCTCCTGGGTGGTGCCGCCTCTTCCCATCGCTCCCGTCCGCTCACCTGAGCCACCTGGGGAGATGCCGGGGGCAAGGAGGGACTCGGAGCAGATGGGAAGGATGGGGATGTACGTCCTCGCTGCGGGGTGGGCGTCTGGGCAGCCCCCTCCCCTGCTGCCCTGCACCGCCTGTGCCTGCCGGAGCACCGAACACCCACCTGGGCCAGACCTTAAGACACGGGGCCCGTCCCTACTGGGTGCTCCGGCCACGCAGTGATTTTTGGGGGGGATATCGGTGGTCAGAGAGGATCTCTCTGGTTTCTGTAAGTCTCAGGGCAGTCAGCTCTGCGTTCCCACACCACGTGCATGGGGCCCGCTGTCGGGTGAGCCCGCGCAGAGCGAGCCCCAACGCTCTCGGCGCGGTTCTCTGCCCCCAGCACCTTCTGTGACACCGGGGAGATGCTACAGCAGCGTTCGGCTGCCCCGTGGCTTCTCCCACCTCTGGCTGGACGCCTTCCCCCCCCCGGCCCCCTCACCAGCGGTACCCAGCCGCATCCCGGTGGCTGACCCCGAGGAGGATGCTGAGGCCGCTCTGGATGATGCCGATTCTGCTTTCAGGGCCGAAGTGAGGAGGAGGAAGGTCTGCTCTCGGCGCAGGGGCCTGTGGCTCTCTCGCCCAGGCAATGGCCCCGGTGCCCCTGGATCATCTGGAGCAAGGGAAGGCTCCCGAGCACCCAACAAAGCAAACTGAGGTGCGGACCCAGGCGTGTGCTGGACTCGGCAGTGCTGGTGAGGGTTAATTCACCCAGTTTTGGAGGAAAGCTCTTAGGTTTGGTGGCACGCTGTCAGCTGCATTTACTGCAAAACCTGGTCGTGGGATGGCGTCTGCAAAACCTGGTCGTGTCCCCTGGGGCTCTTGTCCCAAGGGAGATGGGGGCTTTAAGGAGGAAGGGGGACAGTTGGGATGCTGCCGGGCTCACCGCCTGTCTCTTCCCGGGAGGAGAGGGGACAAAGCTGTGCTCGTCCGTGGGGAATGGTCCCCATCATGGGATGGCCCCGTCCCGACGCCGAGCCAATGGCCCTGGTGCACACGGCCATTCGCATGGCACAGGCTGGGCTGGACCCGAGCGGCTGCACGAAGGGGTGAGTGCCACTGGCTCGGGCATCTCTGAGCGGCGGCATCCCTTCCCTCTGCTTTTTGGAGGTCTGAGCGCTGACGTACTTCACTCGGTAGCGTTTCAGAAATCAAGGCTGAGAGCACACCGCATTGTAGAGTTAATTTTCCCTTTCTGTGAGCTCTCCCTATTAATGCTGGGATCTTGTGGGTGGTGCGAGAAACCGGTAATTATCCACTTTTACTATATAAGATGGAGTCCTCCTCCCCAGCCCGGTGCGGAGAGTGCGCAACGTGCGGCCCTGCCGGCGTGCAGCCCCAGCCCTGGCAAAGGGCTGCTTGTTCAGGAGCAGCTTTCCAGAGGAGAGCAGAGTTTGCGCCGCTGGGAACGCTCGGGTTAAGTTTCCATTGGGTGAAATCCCTCGCTTGAATGCAGGGACGGCAGGAGGAGCCGACGGCATGGAGCAGGAGCCGACGGCACGGAGCAGGAGCTGGGCTTGGCTGAGCAGCTCCGGGACCGCAGGGCGTAGGGATGGGTGGGTGCGCTGGGTGGAGGAGAGGCAGGCTGCTGGGCATTAGGTGGTAGGGGAGGGCTGGCAGCCCTGCACGGGGTGACACAGCGATGCAGACGAAGCCACAAGGGCAGCAAGGGAGATTCAGGAGAGCCCAGGTGGGGTTTAATCCAGCCACAGCGAGGAGTGTGGCACCTCTGGGCCGTGGAGCAACCGTCCAAGAGGCAGCACATGGCCGGTACCCAGCCGGGGCACCGCAGACCACCCCTGCGGGGCTGCCACGGACCTTCGCCCGCACGGCAGCCGGCGCAGGGTCTGCCAGGGCTCGGCTCCCCACGCGTCGCCCGTGGCGGAGCGTGGCCCTCGCTCGGGCGCATGGGCTCGGCTCCTTGCACGGCAGTTATATATAGCATCCCTGCTCCGGGTAACCGTGGCAACTGATTTTATTTTGCTTAAACCTGGCCCGGCATGTGATGCAGTTGGGAAAGAACAGCTGAGGGGAGATGAAGTTCTCCGTGCCGGGTGCTGGGGGAGGAGGCTTGGCTCAGTCCCAGCAGCGACTGTAGGGGATCCGGGTGCGGGCTGGCCAGGGGATGCTCTCGGGCTGCGGCCTCGCTCCGTGTCCCTGCAAATGGCCTTGCTGGGGACCGTCATCAGCCTCTCCATGACCTGTCAGGGCTCTAGTCCCATCCCCTTCATTCCTGTCTTTGCAGCCTCCTTCCCAGCAGCGGGAAAGGTCCAGCTCCCTGCTTTCTGCTGGGATTCGGATTCCTGGGCCACCCCTGAGTGCCATTCCCCACCGTGCCGCAGGGTCTGGTTTGCCGAGTGCAGGTACCGGTGGGAGGTGGTGGTGATTTTCCTGCTGGACTTTGGGCAGGACTCCCTGGAGGAGTGGGAAGCCTCGTGCCAGCCCAAGGCGGAGAAGGGACCCTCGCTGCCTCCATTGCCGGAGGAGAAGCCTGCCATGGTGAAGCTTTGCTGCGGTGATGCCAGGTGCCGTGATAGCTCAGATGTCCCAAAAGGCGGTTTCATTTCTGTAGGTGCTTGGACAGGGCTGCGTTTCGGAGAAGGCGAGGTCTCACTCTGGGTGACAGCTCCCAGCACCTTCTATTCCCGCTCCCACAGGGCGGTTTTTAGCAGATGGAGGCCCCTGAGCAGCACATGGCTGCCGCAGGCACCACCAAGCAACCGCTGGAGCCTGAAGCCCCCGGAGAACCAGCCCTCATGGCCCATCCCCACCCGACCAGGCAGGACAGGCAGGCTGCCTGCTCCAGCATCTCCCTCTGCATCCCGCTGGAGTGCAGGAGGTGGTGGGAGAAGCTCTCCTCTGAGTAGGCTCGGCACGGCACAGGCAGGCAGGTCCCCTGTGCCCCTCTCCCTCCCTGAAGTGGCCGTGATGGTGGCCGAGTTCTTCCAGGAGATGCTGGAGTGGGATTTTGGCTACAAGCACTACAAGACGCTGCTGGCCTTGCCGGGGAAGGAAGAGCCGCTGGAGACCAGGAACCTGGAGCCAAGAAAGGGCTGCCGAAACGGCAGAGGAGGAGGCTAAGCAGATGTAGGTACGTAGCCGGGGGGAACCCAGTGTCCCTGGTTCAATCCTGCTCATCCTGGGTGCTCTCTCAGCACAGCTTGGTGTTTTGGGGAGCTTGGCCTCTCCAATCCTTAACGCACATCTGTGTTCCAGCAGCCCAAGGCTCTGGACCCAAGCGCTGTCCTGCCCCTGGATGCTCTCCTAGCCTTCGTGTACTTCCATGGCTATCTGGAGGAGCTCCTTGGTAGGCGTAGGGATGATGGGGGTACAGCGGACCTCTTGGAGACGGTGCGGTGGGTGACGAGTGGTTCTTGTTCCAGGAAACCTCCCTCTGCTGCCTCCTGCCCTGGCCCAGGTCTCCCACAAGGTCACGGTGCTCAACCTGGGGAAGCAGCTGGAGAAAGCGGAGCAGCCAGCTCTACCTGGAGAGCAAAATCCACACGTTGAGGTCAAGCTGGGTAAGCCGGGGTGAGATGTGCTGGGATGTGGGGTCCCTTCTTTGCAAGCTGCTGGTCACCCCTTCTCTCTTCTAGACTAACGACTGCTTAGAGGAGGAACCAGCATCCAGCTGATCTCCACCAGGAGAGAGCGAAGTCCCTGCCCACCTGGATGTCACACAGCGGGGTCATGGATGGTGGCAGGGTCCCTGCGAGCCTCTTCTGTCTCGGCCCTCTCCCTGCGGAGATGGGTTCGAGCTGGCTCCCACCACGTGCACGCAGAGCCGGGGCAGCCGTAGGGATGCGCAGGGTTTGCTCCGATCCGTTGTTTGCGTTTAATGGAACCCTCTTAGGTAGGAAATCTTGCGGCCATGTGTGTATCGGAGACAGGGCACGGGCCACCTCAGTGCTCTGAGCTGGACCCGCAAGTGGGGGACAGACTGGCTTGTTTAGGATGGAGGGACCCTGGTGCTCGCTGTGCCGCAGGCTGCCCTGCAGCTCGGGGGAGCCTCTGGATGCTGCTGTGCCCGTAGCAGCTTGCTTTGCTGCAGTGACCAGCTCCGCGCCGTGCCAGCCCCGTAACTGCTCTCCAGCCCCTCCATGCAGCAGCGGCTCGTCCCAGGACACGGAGGGCAGCAGCGCGGGCTCCCGCAGCCTCTCCATACGCTGAAAGGCGCCAGCTCGGGATCGAATTCACTGTATTCCACTGTAAAATTGTATTTCTTCTGCTTTGCTGAAGCAGTTTCCTCTCTGCGTCTCCTCGGGGGCTGTTCAATCCCTCTTTTCTCTTTCCCGCCCCTTCCAGCCTCCTAATACCTTTCTTAAAATTACACCTCCAAACCAATAGTGTTGTGCTGTAGCCAGGGGGGCTGGGGGGGCCCCGGCAGCCCACGGGGGGAGCGTCCCTGCGTGGGTCCCCCCCCCCTCGGGGGGTGGTAGTGGCTGGCAGGCGGCGGCAGAGGGCGGCAGCAGCTCGGCCTTGGCACCACGCACCCGCCCGGACACAGACCCAGGCCTGCTGCTGCGCTGCCAAAAACTTTATTGGGAGAGCGGAGGAACCCCCCCGTCCCTGCCCAGGCACCGAGGGGGGGGCTACGGTCACCTCCGGCTGTGGAACCCCCCCTCCCAGTTTGCTCCCGGCTGTGTTGCGTTTCCCTTCGGCATCCCCCTGCCCTGGGGTCCGGGGCCCCCCATACCTGTTTGGTGGGCACCCGCGTACCCAGTGCTGTGCAGATGTGCACCTCCCTGCACCCCCCTCACCCCCCCAGCTGTGGGGCAGAGGCATTTTGCACCGTTCGTGCTTAAAATGGGGCGGATTCAGGGAAGTGCAGCCCTTTCATCACCCCCTCCTGATGCCTCAAAAAAATGGAATTTGAATGCTTTTACCCTTCCCTGGGGGGCTACTGGGCTCCTAAGGCACCAAATGAACGGCCCAGTAGCAGGACTGACCCCGTCCTCCCGGCAGCAAGGCAAGGAGGCGGGGCCCGATCCGGACCTGGGCCAACACAGCTGTGTGATGGTGCAGCACTGAGCTGGGACCTAGGAACGGCCAACGGCACCCAGCCCGCTCCCCTTTTTCAGCGGAGCGGGATGGCTCGCTTCCCTGCTCTGCTGCAAACCTCTAAAGGCAAAGCCTGGCTGCAGGGGGGCAGAGATGAGCCAGACCCTGCCTTTGGAAAGTGGCTGGCTGGGGAGGGGGGAGCCCTGCTGTGTCCCCGGCCCCAGGCAAGACCTTGTCCTGGCAGGAGGGCAGAGCCATGGGGGCAAAGGGAGCAGCCAGCGGCTAAAGCCCCCCGAGTCCATCCCCAGGAGAGAGGAGGGGGGGGGCAGCCCAGCT